ATGATTTGTTTGAGGATTTTCAGTCAGGATTTAGAGTCCATCATAGTACAGAAACTGCATTGGTGAAAGTCACCAATGATGATCTCCTGGCCTCAGACAAAGGACTTGTCTCCATACTTGTCCTCGATCTCAGTGCTGCTTTTGACACGAATGATCACAGCATCTTGCTGCAGAGATGATGAATCTTCCACACAAACTGAAGTTAGTCACGGCGTTCCACAGGGCTCTGTGTTAGGTCCAATTCTCTTCACTTTATACATGCTCCCTTTAGGCAATATTATCAGGAAGCACAACATAAATTTCCATTGCTATGCAGATGATACTCAGTTATATTTATCTATGAAGCCAAATGAATCAGGTCAGCTGGTCAAACTTCAAGCATGTCTCAAAGACATAAAGGTCTGGGTGACCTGCAACTTCTTACTTCTAAACTCTGACAAAAGTGAAGTTATTGTGCTTGGGCCTGAAAACCTTAGAAATCTGCTGTCTAATCATATAGTTACTTTAGATGACATAGCTCTTGCCTCCAGTACTACTGTGAGGAATCTTGGAGTCATCTTTGATCAGAATATGTCCTTTAAATCACACATAAACCAAGTCTCTAGATCTGCCTTCTTTCACCTGCGCAATATTGCAAAAATCAGGAGCATCCTGTCTCAAAGTGATGCTGAAAAACTGGTCCATGCATTTGTTACTTCCAGGCTGGACTACTGTAGCTCTTTACTATCAGGATGTCCCAATAGTTCCCTAAAAAGCCTCCAGTTAATCCAAAATGCTGCAGTCAGAGTACTGACAGGAACTAGTAAGAGAGATCATATCTCTCCCATGTTAGCTTCTCTCCACTGGCTCCCTGTAAAATTCAGAATAGAATTTAAAATCCTTCTCCTAACATACAAAGCCCTTAATGACAAGGCTCCATCGTATCTTAAAGACCTCGTAGAGCCTTATCATCCTAACAGAGCACTTCGCTCTCAGAGTGCAGGTTTACTTGTGGTTCCTAGAGTCCACAGAAGTAGAATGGGAGGCAGAGCCTTTAGCTATCAAGCTCCTCTCCTATGGAACCAACTCCCAGTCTCAGTTCGGGAGGCGGACACCCTCTCTACCTTTAAGATTAGACTTAAGACATTCCTTTTTTGATAAAGCTTATAGTTTGGGCTGGATCAGGTGACCCTGAGCCTTCCCTTAGTTATGCTGCTATAGGCCTAGGCTGCTGGGGGGCCCCATGATGCTCTGAGTTTCTCTCCTCCCCTCTCCTTTCCTCTCTCCCTATGCTTCTATATGCCACCATTACACATCACTAACTTTGTGTCTCCTCTCTCCCGTAGTGTGTCCTCTCTCTCTCCTTGTTCCTTTCTGCAGGTTGCCCTGGCCCTGGAGCTCTATGTTTCTGATGAGCAGTCACCGGCCACATCAACCTGACCAGTGTTTGATTGTTTGTTGTGTCTTGTTGCTTTTCTTCTTTTGTCTCTCCTCTATCCACTCACCCCAACCGGTCGAGGCAGAAGGCCACCCACCAAGCGCCGGGGTCTGTCGGAGGTTTCTTCCGTTAAAGGGAGTTTTTCCTCCCCACTGTCGCCAAGTGCTGCTCAGGGGGATTTGTTGGGTTTTCCCTCTGTAATAATAGTGATAACAGTAAGGTCTAGACCTTCCTTTGTAAAGTGTCCTGAGATGACTTTTGTTGTGATTTGGCTATACAAATAAAATTTGATTTGATTTGAAATTAATATTAGGCTGCTACATTGATGCTCTTTTCTTTGTTACTTACACTTAAGTGTAACAGAATTAACTCTTTTCTGTAATTATTAGACTTGTACTTTAAATATTTTGCCTAAGCGTTGGAAAAGGTGGATGTTTCACATTGCAGTATTGTACATAATTATCTTATTTCGGGATCCGCTATTGTTCCATACAATCAAAGTTTAAGGAGTCAGAATTATTTAGAGAATAATATTTTTCAGCCACAGATCTCTTCCTCAAAAACCTACAACGGTTCTCTCTTCACAAACATTTTACCTAAACAACCAGTAATTTTTGGACATTTTAAGTCCATTTCCTGCTTGTTCTCTTCGTGTGCTCCCAGGTGTTTCCTGTCTGACAGCAGGTATTGACTCGTGGTTTTTCATCCCTCTGTTGGGTGTTGAAGGTCATTGAGGGCCTAAAGCTCACGAGCCCACAGGAAGAAAAAGAGGAGGATCTGGACCAGTGTTGGAGGACAGAGGCAGCAGAGAGGATGAAGAGTTTTCTGTGCTGATGTACAAGGTTAAGAACTATTTACACATCGACTCTGTGGCCTTGGCCCTTTCCTTTCTATGTTGTTTTCTGTCCCTCACGGAGGTGAAACGGGTTCAGGGTTTTTCTTCTGTCACTGTAAGGAGGTTGTAGTGATGCTGATGTCACTCTGTTCAGTCAGATATCTCATGTTTTTACTTTATAAAATGTGGCATTAACACATACAGTGTTCTATATTAGTATAAATGATCTGTTAATAATGAAGTGACAGTAATGTCAGGAGAGGGGGAGAGGAAGGAGAGGGAGAGGGGAGAATTAATGTCCAGGTCAGCTGACTCAGACATGTGCATGCATTAGCTTAGCTTGATTTTTTTTGTCCCCCTTTAGTCATCTACATTGCTTCAATCCGCACTGTTAGCATGTTAGCTACCTTAGCACTGTTCTGTGTTAATATTAAAATGCCAGTGTCAATATGCAAACGTTGGCTTTATTCAGATCAGTGGAGCTGCACTTCCTGTTCTGGAAAAAGACTGAGATCAGTGTGTAGCCCGAAACTAATTGCAAACTAACACACACATAGATGTGATGATATCCTTGTGATGATCACTATTCATTCATGTTAGATGAGGACAGTTTCTAAATGTCCTGTTTATTTCCTAAACCTGGTCCTCTCAAAGGTCCTGTATTCCCAAATCCAAACACAAACTCTCACATTAACCTGCGATATGTGCCTTTCGGACAAGTTTGGCTTTTGTCGTACACTGTCGGGACATTTTACATCAAAACTTTGTGAGGACTTGGCTTGCATTTGTTTATGGGTACAAATGCATTTTTGGGTTCATTGTCAGTCTGAGTTTACACCTGCATTGTGAGGACATTTTTGTCAGAGGTCTAAGGCTGTCCTGATAGATTCTCTGAAAGTCACACAAACATGTTTTCATGTTCTGTCACACACAAACACACATGCAGGAAGCGTGTTTGATGTTGATGAGGGTGAACCAAGCATCAAACTGCAGACGGGGAGAGTTTGACAGCAGTGCCAGAGAGCAGGGGCTCGTTTCAAGAAGGAGGTTTAACAAACTCAGAGTTCAAACCTGAACTCTGAGTTGACTTACACAGAGTTGGAAAACTTGGAGTTTTCAATTTCAGAACAGCTGAAAAGAGTTGGTTTAATCAACTCTGAGTAGGTTGACTCAGAGTTAGGCGCGTGCAGCGCGACTATAAAAAGCCCTGAACAATGGAGTGAAGACATTACGAGTCACCATGGCAACAGGACCAAGCAAAAATAGGTCTGCGTTTTTTTCCTCGACAGAAATGGATGTGCTACTACAAGCATATAGTGACTACGAGCCCATATTTCGTAAAAAAAAAGCAACACGGCTGCAGCGGCGAAAGAGAGAGAGTTA